TACTTCATACATTCTAGGTTTAATATCCTCTGCTTTTGTTCAATGCTCAGGGACACTACTATGTTGAGAATTAGCACCTGTACTTAATGTTAAATGGTAAACATTCTCAATATTATAATTTTAAATATATAGTACACAAAATTATACTAAAGTTCGTCAATTTTCTTCTCTACATTATAGACTATAATATACAAAATATATAAATGGAAAGAAATACAGTCTGAAAAAAACATTGGCTTTATATATTTTTATATCCGACACCTCTTGTCTATGTACGGCACCAGATTGTTGACATGATTTGTTTACATTTACTGATAAGCAAACAATACATTCTCCGCATTCTGTTATTAAGTTATATTTTCTAAAATCTGATTGGTCTATCTATTTATTCTAGATTATTTAAGTACATACATTGAGAAAAAAAATTCATGAACTTAACTATAACTTTGTATACTATACAATTATTATTATTGTAACACTGAGAACATGTACTATATATCTAATTACAACAGGTGTTAATTCTCAACAATTATACAATGCTTATTATTATTATTATATTTCTTCGCTAAAATCTGAGAATATTATAATAAGAATGATTTGGTCAAAAAATATCTTTGTCGTTTTTTTCCACAATAATTGGAGGTTTCTTGAATAAGTTTCTCAATAACTTAGCGCAAATAGTAATTTGACGACTTTTCAAATACATTTACAGCCTGTATTGAGAATTTTGGAAATGTATTATTACTCGTAGACTCCATACTCCAGGATTTCTAAATAAGACTTCTTACACTTACAACAGACGTTTGAATTCTTACGTCTTCTTTAAGTAAACTTATATTTATTTACTTGATTGAATTTAATTATTCAAAAGTTCAAAAATTCAAAAAATTTAAACAGGAAACAATCATATCTCATAATAATTTCTGGTAGTATAGCTTCTTAATTATTCTCACTAAAAATTTTTTTTTAGATTAAAATAGTAATCTAGTCAGATTTTAGCAGATATTAACCAATAATAAAAGAGCATTCATAATTTAGCGATTACTAGGCTTTGTTAGAAATGGTTCACTAATTTTTTAGTTGTTTGTATAAAAAAATTACTTAACGGCCATAGATACTAAACCTAAGAATGTTCTTATATCATGTCCTTCTCTTGCTTATGTCTTTTTGTATATAATTATTTTTTTACTGTGCTTACAAAAGAATAGAGAAGAACTCTACCGTAATTTTATATGATATTTATAACGGAGAATGCATCCAACTTACCAAATACATAGAGTTGTTAATTTTCAAAGTTAGAAATGTCATTTGTACAAAAATGGTTTTAAAGTGCCTGAATTAATTCCCCCCTTATCTTAATTTTATTGGTTTTTTTGAATACATCTAAAACTTATAGATCAAAAATAAAAAGTTTTTGGTGTTTGATAAATCGAAGGAAACGCCAGTTACTGGAGGGTAGAGAAAGAAAATCATAAGGGGGAAGGACAACAAACAACAGAGTTTATGATATTATGGCCGCTATTTTATTATTGAATCACAAATACTTTGAATACCCATATACTAAATCAATAGAAAACAAAATATTTCTGGGGAAACCAAGAATCTTGGTGACAAACCTGTTAATCTATTAAAACCGACAAGTAGTGGTTTCCAAATCCAGTGACGTTACTGAAAATGATGACCAATTAGATAGGGAATTAAAGAAATCAACTTAGACAAGCCCAATTTTGCTGAATAATAAAAATGCCGCAATATATTCTTCAACACTTATAGAAATATGAATTCTACGAAAATTCCGTTAAACCATGCTGATAAATTATTAATAGTGGATAATTTATGTAAAAATGGAACAATAGATTTATTTAATAGAAAGAGTCAACCTTCTGGATTGCTGATCAGGCTATTCTAATTAGAACCGATATCAGCAATAAGAAAGGAAAATAGTGAAAAAAAATACAATTGTAAGCTATTTTTTATGATATAACTATTGTTATGTAAGCTATTGTTTGTATGTTTACATATTGATTGCAAAATAGCGGAACAATGCTAGTTTATTTTTTTTGTCTATTTGGACATTTCCTTTTTCGTGAATCCCAAAAACTTTTTGTGATTTAGTGTTTTTGCCACATTTTTTTACTTCCTGCATGAAACAATAGTTCTGTAGTAACATTTTTTCATCATAAAAAATTGTTTTATCTTTATTTTTTATTTTTTTATTTTTTGTCTTTTGATTCTAATCAGATATTTCTATATAGACAGGTACAGTATTAGTTAATTGTAGATGCAAGTTTTTGGTAAAAAATATTGCATTTCATCATGCTTTGGTCAAAACAGTGTTTTTTTATTTGATAATTCTAGGGGTAATTTTAGGAGAAAGATCAAAATCTCTAGTTTAAAATAACAATGAATCTAGTATTCAGATATATCCGATAAAAGTTTGGTTTATCAAATGTATTTTATGAAAATTCTTGACTCTTCTTGAAACAAGAAAATTGAGGAGAGTAATCACGTTATTTCAAAAACAATACAGTCTTATGTAAGATATACTAGGAAAAAATAGCCATAAAAAAAGACTTTCCATCTCTCTAAAACTTTTTGTTAAGTCTTTCGGTTCGCACTGAAAAGGAAATTCAAAAGTTTTCAGAAAATAGCACTATTTTATGGTGTATTGTTGAGCTTTTTATGGTCAAAAATTTAGTGTTGAAATTATATCCTTGCTATTTTATTATAATTACGTACTTTTACCCTATATTCTAATAATATTTTAAAGAATATTCAAACCAAAAATAAAAGAGGGATTTTCATTTTGCATTATTAGGGTAAGTATGTTTAGTTTTTACATATTTTTAAATTTACGGTATTCTTTCCCACCAGTATAATATATTAGAGTTCTACAATACTATGAAGTTTCCTCTTAATCACTTTGTACTATTAGGTGTATTTTATCTTTAAGAAAATTTCAAAGAAGAACTCAGGAAAATCTTACCAGGTGAAGAAACCCAAAAAAAAAATATTATTAATCTTGCACCTTATTCTTTCCTAAACGAAGACTATTGAAACTAACATTCCTGAAAAATTATAACACTTCTATGTTATTTTCCGATAATATGTGCATGCAAAAAATTTAAAAATATATATAAAATATTTTAGAACTATTACTACTCATACTAATATTACTAAACAAGTATGTCCCTATGTTGCTAGCCGATATTTTTCTTAAAAAAAAGTTAGCAATAAATTCTTCTAAATAATACATTACGTAACAATAATCATTATATACAATATATACAAAAGTCTAGATAATTATTTAATATTTTTGTGTTCGATATGAGGGGGGAGGGGGGTAATGTGAAAAATTTCGATCTCTATTATTTTATTTCTGGTAAAAAAAAAGCTTGCCCTATTTACGATGTACAAAAAAAAAGAGATAAAATTTTAAAACCCTATCAATTATGAAATATGTAAAATCTGGATAATTAAGCCTAAAGAAATGAACTACACTAAGAATATACACAGAATCTACTTAACTCTAGCAGAAAAAAAGTGATTATTCCAAATTTTCAGATACAAGTTATAGTTTGTAGTTTTTATGGCTGCTTTTTGATAATTATTATGCTATAAGTATTTTGTACTTCTTAGTAGGATATATACATGTCATAAATTAGAGTCTTATGTATTGAGTAAGGTGGATACATTCTCAATTAAAATACCCTATTCCAGTAAGGAGTCCAAATAAAAATATCATTCCCTATGTATAAAATGGGCAACAAATTCATGATGAACAATTTAATAGTGAGGTATGTAAGTTTATGTATATTTATTATTCTTGAGCATAGCACATAAAAGCAAAAGAAGAAATGTATACTGCGTATCTATCCACTATTCTTGGAAATAGTAACTAGAATTTCCAAGTAAGATACATTTATACTTGCATATGTTGTGGTGCTCCACAACAAAAAAAAGATTCTAAATGCTTATATTTCAAAAAAAGAAATAGGAAAGTAGTTGAGATAATTTTTGTAAATCCTACTTTTTCTTGCTCTAAAATGCAAGTGTTCATCATAATTTTAAATCAAGAGACCCAGTAACCCTATAAAAAAGGGAAACAATAGTATACACAGATTTTTAATACTGAATGAACACCAATTTGAAAATACAAAGACGTTAATATCACCTTAAATGAAAATATCATTATAGTACGTAGAAATCAAATAATTTTTTAACAATGCTTTCTGATGGTTTCGGGCATTTCCACTTTCAATTACATCCATTGAACCTATTGTTTCCGTTTATTTTTCAAAAAAAAAAAATGAAAAAAAAACTGTGTTTCTATCTGAGATCACAAAAAAAAAAAAAAGAAAAATCAACAGATTTTTTCATTCATGTTATCGTTAAAAGTATTGTTTTTTTTGTATTTGCTCCGGAAAAGCCAGCAGGATTATCTACTATTTTACATAAACAGAGTAGGTTTATTGGTTTGACGAAAAGATTTGCCGTTATCTGATAACTGTAGCATTTGCTTTTTTGTTGAGGATATTGTGTATTTCAAAACAATGAATATATATATTTACTAATAAATAATTAATGCCGATAGCTCCTGTTAGTAGTGATGTCATTTCACTGTAATGTATTAAAAAATGCAAGATGGCAAATAGATCCAACTATTTCCTGTAATAGGAAGTATCTCAGATCATCTGAAAAATAATAATAATAATAACAATATTAATGGGAACATTTTTATTCAATTTATTGTTTATTATTCTCAAAAATAAAATAAGAATAAAAGGACAGATAGATACTATATAATCATGAATGCTACCTCATAAACAACTACTTAAATCACCTTAATGGAAAAAAATTCATATAAATACGTGTATGTATAATCAGCATTTTAGCGATTGGCTTCCCATTGATCTGCTTTCTCTGTAAAATCGCAAATATCGCGTTTGTTACGAAATTTCTTTAAGTATAACAGTAACAAACTACCAAACCCAGTGAAAATGATAAGTTCTTTTAAAGGTTTTTTGGTACCTTTAATATTTTTACTCATCTTCGCGGATGCTGTAACAATCTCTGACAACACTTATTTAGGTGATATTTCTTTCTCTGTCCCCCTTACTATTGATAAGGGTTATTTTTTGGCATTGGTAAATGGTAACTCTTATAGTTTCAGCAAAGATTTGCTCGTGAACGGTTCACTTTTCGTTGGTGATATAAACTCATATGGTAACGGATTTAGCACTACATTTGATGGTTCAACTATTACAAATGACGGCTTGATTGTCGTTGATAGTAAAAATCTTACAACTGGTTCAATGACTGTATCATGGAGTGGTTCTGCAATTACTAACAATGGAAAAATGTATTTCAATGGTTTGAATAGCAGTTCTAACAGTTTCACGTTAAATCCAAGTATATCCTTAACCAATACTGGTTTGATGTCTTTTGGTCAGGACTCTACTTCAGATTATAGTAGTGTTGTACACCTTAAGTCTGGATCTTTTGTTAATATTGGTACTATTTGTTTGAAGAATGTTAAGGCATCTTTGGAGAGTTCTATAGCAGGTGACGGTTGCATTACAATAGGTGAAAATTCTGTATATGCTATACCAATACAGTCAAGTTCTGGTACAGTCGGTCCACAAACTATATATATGACCTCTCCTTCCTCAATGCTTTATGTGGGCTCATATGGTAACACGGATAATATCTTTGTTAGAGGTTTCGGTAATGGTAATTATTTGACGTTTCGTACCGCAATAGCAGGTTATAATTATGATCCAAATACTGGTATCTTAACAATTAATGTGGCCACTATTCATAAAATTAATATTGGTACTGGTTACAACCCACGTGGATTTTCAATGAAATCTATAAATAATCACATTGGTTTTAATTTTATCAATAACGCATTAGTCTACAATGGAACTGCTCCAAATGGTTTTCCTAGTGCTTGTATGCCATGTGATTCCCCTCCTTGGATACCTATTATAAATTCTATCTCATCTAGCTCTTCTTCTTTTTCTTCTACATATTCAAGTATCTCTTCTAGTTATTCCACTAGTTCCATACCATCTACTGTAGGCTCTTCCAGCTTTATTACTTCTTCATCATCATCAAAACCAAAACAAATCACCTCCTACATCCCAGGCATCATAGGCTCTGCTTCTGCCCAATCCACAATCACCTCCTACACCACTGATGCCAACGGCAGCAGCAGTGAAGTTGACATTGTTGTTGTTGCCACTCCAGTTCAAAGTACTGTTACTGCCTACACTGCAGGCTCAGTAGGTGCAGCTTCTGCCCTTTCCTCCTACATCTCCTACACCACCGACTCCAACGGCAGTACCAAGGCCATTGGTGTTGTTGTTGTTGAGACTCCAGCTGTTAGTCAAATCACCTCCTACATCCCAGGCATCATAGGCTCTGCTTCTGCCCAATCCACAATCACCTCCTACACCACTGATGCCAACGGCAGCAGCAGTGAAGTTGACATTGTTGTTGTTGCCACTCCAGTTCAAAGTACTGTTACTGCCTACACTGCAGGCTCAGTAGGTGCAGCTTCTGCCCTTTCCTCCTACATCTCCTACACCACCGACTCCAACGGCAGTACCAAGGCCATTGGTGTTGTTGTTGTTGAGACTCCAGCTGTTAGTCAAATCACCTCCTACATCCCAGGCATCATAGGCTCTGCTTCTGCCCAATCCACAATCACCTCCTACACCACTGATGCCAACGGCAGCAGCAGTGAAGTTGACATTGTTGTTGTTGCCACTCCAGTTCAAAGTACTGTTACTGCCTACACTGCAGGCTCAGTAGGTGCAGCTTCTGCCCTTTCCTCCTACATCTCCTACACCACCGACTCCAACGGCAGTACCAAGGCCATTGGTGTTGTTGTTGTTGAGACTCCAGCTGTTAGTCAAATCACCTCCTACATCCCAGGCATCATAGGCTCTGCTTCTGCCCAATCCACAATCACCTCCTACACCACTGATGCCAACGGCAGCAGCAGTGAAGTTGACATTGTTGTTGTTGCCACTCCAGTTCAAAGTACTGTTACTGCCTACACTGCAGGCTCAGTAGGTGCAGCTTCTGCCCTTTCCTCCTACATCTCCTACACCACCGACTCCAACGGCAGTACCAAGGCCATTGGTGTTGTTGTTGTTGAGACTCCAGCTGTTAGTCAAATCACCTCCTACATCCCAGGCATCATAGGCTCTGCTTCTGCCCAATCCACAATCACCTCCTACACCACTGATGCCAACGGCAGCAGCAGTGAAGTTGACATTGTTGTTGTTGCCACTCCAGTTCAAAGTACTGTTACTGCCTACACTGCAGGCTCAGTAGGTGCAGCTTCTGCCCTTTCCTCCTACATCTCCTACACCACCGACTCCAACGGCAGTACCAAGGCCATTGGTGTTGTTGTTGTTGAGACTCCAGCTGTTAGTCAAATCACCTCCTACATCCCAGGCATCATAGGCTCTGCTTCTGCCCAATCCACAATCACCTCCTACACCACTGATGCCAACGGCAGCAGCAGTGAAGTTGACATTGTTGTTGTTGCCACTCCAGTTCAAAGTACTGTTACTGCCTACACTGCAGGCTCAGTAGGTGCAGCTTCTGCCCTTTCCTCCTACATCTCCTACACCACCGACTCCAACGGCAGTACCAAGGCCATTGGTGTTGTTGTCGTTGAGACTCCAATATATGGAAACTCCACTATTTATGGTGGAGAAACTGGATCTACTTTAACTGGTACTTTAGTTGTTTTGACTACAGTTGTTAATGGAGTCACTATGACCACAACTTATTGTCCAGAACCATCTGAAACTTCTAAAACAAGTATGACTGCTATCATTGCCCATAATTCTATTGAATCTGTTTATTCAAAGAACCAACAAGAAGAGACCAACTCATTTTCTGCTGTGTTCCATGCAACTTCAGTTACTTCTATTGCTTTTACCACCACTGGCACAGTGTTTACCAACAATGAAAATCAATCAACATCTAGAAACTCCAGAGGATCTGCCATTGTTGTTGGATCCACAAAGGGTAATGCAGATGTCGCTTCAGAAACTGGCGTTGTTACAGGTGCTGTAACTTCTGGAAGACCAGAAACATCTCTAACTACAAAGATGCCACAAGTTTCCCAATTCGTTTCTGAGCAATTCTCGTCATCTCCAACTGCTATGACAGCCTCTCATGTAAGTGCACCTTCTCTTGCATCATATAAGGGTAAGGGTAGCACTATATACATGAAATGGAGTGTTGCCCATCTTGTTGGTCTATTATTATTTATGATTATTTAAATCGAATGCAGGTAAAGAATTCTAAAAGAAATAATTCTAAATAGTTAAATAATTAAATACTACTATCTAAACATATATAATACCCTAATATTATATGTATTGTGTATTTTTTTCTTTGACTCTTGTTTTCCGGTTTTGTTAAATACTTTGGCTGTGTTTAATCAATAAATCTTGATTAGCGAACTTACCGTCATACAACTTTGAAATCAACTGATCATATTTTAGAAATATACGTATTTTAAACCCCTTTTAATCAAGAAAAATTGTAATCATGAAAATTTAATGCTAATTTAATTCAAAGATCATAATAAAAGGATTGACACATATCTTAAAAACTATTATAATATTTCTCTACCTATGTTAGTATTCGAGAACTTGACTAGATGAGTGATCATTAAATGCGAAGCAAGAATGTCTTAAATCTTTTTCTTTCTATATTCCCTTATTATTTCCTCTCTTTCCCATATATATACGTACACACGGGGATGAAAATAAATAATATATATATATTTATATATATGCTAATTTGATAACACTATTGCCCCTTAAGTCAATTAACTACATATATATATGTACATTTACATAAATATGCTAACTCTTATTACTTTCATTTTTGACTAATGATTCCACTTCCACCTCTTTTATTTTTGTAACATCATATTTGACCCTAAATGAAATAAAGTATTGAAAAACTATTATTCTCACACGAATAGTAGAAAGATACCATAAAATTACTCCGACAATATTCAAAGCAATGAAAGTTTTTTTGATTAACACAAAAAAAAGTATAAGAAAATGAGGTGTCAAGATATTTTTCAGATACCCATAATTGCACACTGATGATATATTGTACTTACTATTTATGTTAAGAGCATTATACGTAAATAATTCAGATATGCATTATATTGTAATATAGATACCCTTTGTTCTATAAATATATGGCATCTCTTCTTGTATTTTGCTGGATGTAGAGATTTCAAAGTTTCAAAAGAGACAAGAAAATTTCCCCTCTACACTTGAAAAATATCGTAATAACAATTATCCCAAGATTTTAATAATATGAGAACTTTCTTTTTAAATAAGGAACATGTAACAATATTAGAACATATTCATATTTTTGCAAATGTTAATCCATAGATAAAGTATGTCTTGTTATTTTAAAGTTATAATGGAATTAAATTCTTATTTTTTTTTTGAATTTCAATAACTTCTCATCATTCTTTGTTGCAGTTAGAGATCCATATACAGTATTAGACATCCAGTCATAATAATGTCAGACTAATTCTTAAAAAAAGTAGATTTTCTGAATAGTAAATTGAAAGATTAACATGTTAATACTCCACCATAGTATATTTTTAAATGTTGTTCAATGTTCAAAGATCGAGATAAAATCTCTTTTTATTACGTTATTTTTCAAACATTAAAATAAGATCATTTGAGTAAAAGATAGAACAAAATTGTTGAGCAGGAAAAGTAATACAGTAGAATGAAATAAAGATATAATCAAAATATTATTCATTATATCAAATCAATGTGTCTTTTATCATCATTACCATAAGCATTGAAAATCAAACACAAATCAAATCCATCTATAATAAGATTGGAATTAGTAAGGATAAATATGCAGTGAGATATAAGAAAAAATCTCATAAGTAAATTTGTTTATGGATATAGCATAATTGTATCTACGTTTATAACAGTTATCATGATGTGCTAATTTCAAAAGAGTATTGCATACGATCATGAATTATTATAACAGTATCATTCAATAGATAATGAAGTGATATAGAAGATACAATTATTCCTTTATATTGGAAACATTAGTAGGGGATAGTGTTCATGTAATATTGGAGTATGCTTTAATAGTCATATTCATAATAAAAGTGGTAGTGGCACAAAAAATGGTCATAGTCTATCGATGAATATTCTCCCTAGTTACAATATATGTGTGGAGTAGGTTGTTACGGGGGTATTCTCTATAGTCATTTAGGAATGATTATTAAGTAGATGGTGGTGTAACTATACCATCTTAAATAGTGGTTTAGCAATGTTCAATGTTATACCATATAGTAAACATATCGTAACTGTTTATTTATGGTTAGATGGATCTGCATTTTATATGGTTGTCGATGAGTGTGGTTATTATTGTAATTGATTTTTTTTTTTCGAACTATTTTTTCAAATTTTGAAACAAGGAAAATTGACAATTGAAATCTGAATGAAAAGAGATTGGTGGATAATGAAAAGAAAATGATGGCTGATGCTAAGAGTAATTAAGTGTGATGTGTTTGTGTAGTATCATTCTTGTTTAAGACATAATATCAAGAGAAGTTGTATATTAACAAAGAGTTTATAGTTTAAGAGTGATACCATACAATCTACCAGTTATTAATATCTAAATGAAATAAGCAGTTCAAGAGCAAAGACATAATTGAAAGTAATAGTGGTTAAAATGAACTTAGTCTACTATGTATAAATCCATAGTAACGATACATGTTAATATCATGATGGCAGATACAGTAAATAACATTGTATGTTATAGGTTTGAAAGAGCAATAAAATTTACTAGATGATATCACTATAATAAACATAAAAATGTGACCGTAAATATAAGATGTGATAGAGTAACCATTGATGAATCAGATTAATCCAGTGTATTATGTTTATGTTGTTTACATCTTTTCTACATCCTACACATGAAAAGAAAATGGTCAAAATTCATTGACTTATTTATCACAAAATAAATAACTCTATCGTTGTTATTTTTATTCATTCGAAAATTGTGGTTCACTCATATTTTGTAATTTAAAGAAAGAGATAGTGATATATATGTTTCAGAAACTTTTTAGAAAGAGCTCATTGTTTTGCTTACCTTGGTATAGTTGGTGGATTAAGTATAAATTGTTCATATAATCATTTGACATGGAAAATAGTCTTTACTCTACTCATGGGAAAGGATATCTTAGACAGTTTCCAGAGAACTATGAGAAATATTCTGTGCCTAATAATATAAAATTATTTTCCAGAAAACAAGATCGATCCAAAAATAATCTACATGTTCTATATGCAGTGAAAGCCACAAATTTGAAAAATCTGCTTACGTTTTTCATTTCAAAGAAGACTTTGATAAATAGATTTATGTTAAACACTATACCATCTTTCTACTGTTTATGATCAAGCATTTATCCTATGAAAATATTTAAAATGATATTTAATTTAAATAATCTTAATTGTTTATGGAAGTATAATTTTGTAGATTTAACATTTGAAATTAGAGTTTCAGGGATGCTAATATGGTATCTCCTGAACTATAGTAGACTTAAAGTCTAACGTTGTTATGTTTTAAGTATTTAGTAAATTGGATTTCTCGTTTATTGAAAACCCATGCAAATAGTATATATTGTATTTATTATTAAATACATATTAATCTTGCAAAAAAATTACCAACGATCTACCAAAATCAGTTTTTAACAAGAAAGATCTTGTGAACATGCGATATATTATCTAATTATATTATATTGGACCCAACTATACCATAATCTAATATTGATAATCAATCATATCATCTATCACAATGGATCAAAGACCTCTTTAAGTAAGCTTTGATATAAAATTTCCTACGTGGGTTATTTGATAATCGACTACAAAAACTCACACATTCTAATTTAATACTTTCATGTAATAGAACTTATCCTAATGTTAACGTAATAATTTTATTGTTAATAAGATCCATAGGGATATAAGTAATTTATAAGATGATGTATTGTCGTGATAGTGAAATACATTCACAGATATCTTTATACATTCATGTTGGGGATGATATCCGAAGGTAATTCTTACTATAGAATAAGGCCAGCAACAACAAGTTAAAAACTATATCTGAGTATAAGTAAGAGTGTTTGTATAACTAATACAGAAATTATATCAATTACAGAAAATGAATTCTTTGACAATTACCCATATACAATTCATATTTTTATTCTCAAGAGTACTATGGTATAGTTCATTTGAAAAAGTTATGACAACTACTGTTCTAGAAAATTAACTGTCAGAATGCAATGATCTTTCCAAACTCAAAAATAAGAGAGAAGGAAATACTTTCAGAAATAGTTTTGTGGATTGTGATTTCTTTGAATAATAGTAATAGTCATAGCATATGAATAATCATTCTGTAAATTCATAGTTGCCTCTCCCACACCTCACATTAACAATATATATTTTATTACAGTATATTAAAGTTGTTAAGAATTGGTGCTCATAGTCATTGGATAAATAATGAACGTTCTCAATACTGTAATTGGATAAATATATATTACAAAATTGTATTAAAGTTCTTCCATCTTCTTCTGTATGTATAACACAGAAATGATAATATGTGAAAAGTATGCGGGAAAAGAAACACGATTTGAAAAAATGTTGTCTTTGTGTATGTTAAATTTTGTTACTTCTCTTCTATGAATGGCAAAAATCAAGCAAGCAGTATTATTAACATTTTGTGACATGTAAGCAACAGTTCCTCAGCATTCCAGTGGTGTCATATGTTGGAATCTCATTGTTCCATTTGTTTCATTCTCAAATATTCTATTTCGACGACATAATAAAAGTAACAGTATAACACAGAAATTGTTAACATTCAACAACAAATAATGGAGTTATAAAACCACAATAATTTAACTGAACATTAATAAATAATCCATATATACTAACATAATGAAAGTTTAATAAACTAGCATAGCAAAGAACACTTTAAACAGACTTCTATCCAGAGAACTTGAAATGCTAATGTACTTTATTTAATAGTTGAACTATGATAATATCTAAGAAGGTATATTGATATTTTAAAAACACAACATATATTATCACACTATGAATATATACCAATCCATGTTAGAAATAAAATATACCACTGCATATTGAAATCCGGTTTTCTATTTAATGAAAGTTCCAACATCACTATTTAGAGATAATTACTACAAATACTCTCTTCTCCTTTTCTTCTC